GAAAGAGTCTCGGAGACCTGAATGGGTGAATCATTTTCTAGTTTCAGTTTTTGCAAGCCCTCCAAAATTTCCAATATTTGAATATCATCTTTTTGAGATGTCTCAGGCTGAGCGGAGCTACTCTTTGCAGCAGTGACGTTCCCCGCATGCACAGCAAACTGTGTGGGAGCAGGTAGTTTTACACTATGTGCAGAATTTCCCAAAGAAGCCTGGGCATTATTTACTTGCGAGTTCTGTCCTGAAGCAGCGACGGTATCCTGAATTTCAGTTTTCACCTCAAGTATCTGTGAATTCATAGCAGTTTTAATTATTTCCAGGGTTTTTTCAAAGTTCTGCATAACATTGTCTTCTGAAATCTGTTCCTCCGAATTTGCTTGCACACAAGAATTTACAGCCATCATTTGGGAATCCCCATTTTCAGTTTTTACTGTTAAAGGGGGTAACGTTGTATGAGCCTCGAGATTTGTTTTGAAGTTCTCTTTGATACTGGCCATGAATAACTGATTGTCAACATTATTGAGTTTCTGTGTGAGATTTTCCACCACTGCTTGAGAGCCACAATTTGCCAGCAAGTTGGACTGAAAACCTTCTCCCTGTATTTGCACGTTTCCTTCAGTGCTTTTGGTTAGAAGTCCCATCGTTGTTGTATTATTTACTGCTACTTTCTGTGACGGATTGGGTGCAAGCAAGGGTGTAGTTGCTTTTCTCTTCCTCTTTGAAGCACTGGTTCCCTTCTTATTCAAGTTGCTTGATCCTGAATTCTTGGGACTACTTATAACTGAAACTCGTGAACTGTTCCCTGCAAAGTTTTGCGCTGCTGCAACAGTATTAGAAAACGAGCTGGGACATAAGCCATTTTCAATAGTCTTTAGCATTAAGTCTTCTGTTGCAAAAACAGGCAAACTCTTGCATTCGCTTACTGGAGGAATTTTGGCATTGAGGGTCCTGTTTTGGTCTGTTAGCAGGGTACTGGGGTTACAGACTGTCTGCAGCAGAGGGGACGCGGTTGAGTTGGGCAG